CAATAGAGTTGAGTTTATGGCTGTCCAGTTCATGGCATTCAGAGGCAGTTTTTACTGGGACAGTTTTACAGAGACAGGGTGAAGAGAGAACAAGCTACACACAGGTGAAGACAGAACAAGCCAGAGAAAGACAAGGAACAAGAATATTAGAATAGATTGCTAGAGCTGGTTTTGAGGCCAAGCAGAGCTATTCAGTGAGAAGCAGAGAGAATCCAGATTGAATCAATCAATTTGGAGAGGACTTTTGAGCCAGAACAGCTGAGTTGAACCAGCCAGCCAGAGTTCAGAGAGAACAAGAAAGGGTGAGCTTATTCAGCAGTAAGCTTTAGAGGCTGAAACATTTTAGGCCTTGCTTAGGCCTTGTACAGAGGCTATAGGACTAGGCCTAGGTTAGCAGATGGAGGCAGTAAGTCTCTGAGATGACAATTGTGTCAGGCAAATAAAAGGAACTGTTACAAGGCTTCACATGGCCTGACCATTTCTCTGCTCTGAACACCACAATACCCTCCAGAATTCATTTTAAATGTCTAAGTCTTCTACATGATCTTCTTTAGATATCCCTCTGCTCTAATGACTTCATCTTCTGACATCTTCTTACACCTTTTCCTCCCTAAAAATTAAAAAGAAATTGATTATTTGGGACCTGGGGAGATGGTCCAGTCAGGAAGGTGCTTGCTGTGCAAGCATGAGGATCCGAGTACAGAATCCCAGCACCCACCTGGGAAGCTGGGCATGGTGGCATGCGCCTGTGATCCTGACAGAGGCAGGAGGATCCCTGGGGCTTTCTGGCCAGCCAGTCTGGCCAAACCAGTGAGCCTCAGGTTCAGTGAAAGACTGTGGCTGGAGAGATGGCTCAGAGGTGGCTGTTCTTGCAAAGGTCCTGAGTTCAATTCCCAGCAACCACACGGTGGTTCACAACTGGCTATAATGAGATTTGGTGCCCTCTTCTGGAGTGCAGGTATACACGTAGACAGAACAGCAGACAGAACATTGTACACATAAGTGAATAATAAATTAAAAAAAAAAAAACAACTAAGTTGGAGAGCAACTAAGAAAGACGACTGATATCAATCCACACACATTCATGTCCACCTGCTCATACATATATGTACATGCAACACGTACCACACACACAATCTCAACAATAAGACAACTGGAGATGATGAAACAAGCACAAGAGAATCGCCTAGATTCCTCCCTTTCCTCCCTACACGCCATTTCTCTTCTTTCTGCTCTTTCCCTACACCCGTGTACTTTTTTTTTTTTTAAAGAAGGTGAGAAAGGTGCAGAGAGATTGACCCTCTTTCCCCCAGAGAAACACACACTGAAAATTAGGTGGCTGTCCTTAGGATTTCGGAAGGGTAGGGAGAACTCCAAGTAACCTGGGTGCAATTCCTATATTTTTAAGGTACTCCTTCAAATCTAACCTATCTTTGGTATTTTTGCCTTTAAAACTAAGATTTCATTATTATTATTATTTTTAGGGGAAAGGTAGGGACCATATCTTGCAGACCTGGCTGGCTTGCTATGTAGTCCAGGCTGACCTCAAACTGGTGACAATCCTCTCATCTCAGATTTCCTAGTGCTGGGATTATAGGCCTGTGCCACCACCAAATTAAAACAGATTTCTGAAAGTCTATCATGGTGGTCGTGATTCTAAGGCCAGCGCTTGGGAGGCAGAGGTAGGAAGATGGTAAGTTCGGGGCCACTCTGGAGCGAGATACTAAGAATCTGCTTCAGAAACAAGCAAACAAAACCAGGATTTCTTGGCAGAGGGTTTGCTTTGGTGGTAGAGTGCCTTCCTAGAAAACACACCAACCCTCTGGGTTTTTCTTCCTCCAGCACCACACAAGCAAACAAACGAACGAACAAACGAACAAAAACAGACAAAACCCCTCCAGGATTTCTTTGTTTGCAATAGCCTGAGCACGATGCATGAAGTCTGTTAGAGGTAGGCTTCTGCAGCAGTCTTCTTCCTGGGGTATAGACATACACTTTAAATGACATACGTGTGTTCTTTTCAGAATAGAGTGAGCCTCTTCCCATCTGGTCTCATGGAAGAGGGAGGTCGAGCTCTATACCTGGGCGTGAGTACTAACAGCTCTCCTGACACCCGTCCCCCACCCCCCCCGTGCCTTCTTTTATTTCCTATTACTCTGCAGTGCTTCCCGTTAGAAAGCTTTATGCTGTTGTTTCAGAAGTACTTATCAGCTCCTGGTCACAGGCTCGCATTTCCTAGTTTCCCCTCTAACACAATGCCTCTGATTAGAATTTTGAATTACAGGATATCTTTCTTTCAGGAACTGTTTCTAGTATATATAATTCAGAATTCAGAAGATCACTACATAAGAACTACAAATAAAACAGGGGAGGGCCCCTTTTTTATGTTCATTTTTTGAGATGCCCCTATTTTCATTAGGTAGGGCCAGCAGTAATGCAGTGAAGGAAACAACACTGTGTTTTTCCCCACTTCTCCTCATTTGTTTTGGACCACAGGCTCCATTCTGATTTAGGAGTCTTTGCTGCTCAGCATTTCAGTGATAATTCTCCCTATGGTCTACAGGATCCCTGTTCTCCTTGTTACTATAGCAACAGCCCCGTGTTGCTTGGCTAGAAGCAATTTTCTGCTGCTGTGGTGAAGCCCTATTTTTTTTTTTTTCATTCCTTTCTCTCTGGTTGCCTTGGTAACGAGCCTCTTCCTCTTCTGGTCTCTCGGTGGTAAATTCCTCCCTCCTGTTTCTTTCTGCAGTAACAGTCACCTGGTCATGACTTGGACAGTGCTAGCCCCATCTGTGAGTGAGTAGAGTCTGTCGTCGTCGTCAGACTGTCATCACGAAATTGGCCTCCGCTTTCTCTTTATGTGCATCATTCCTCCAGCCTGCCATCGGTCTGGTGGTTGTCACGGTAACCATACCCTCTGAAAGTCTCCAGGCAAAGGCTCTACAGTTAACAGCCGTCATGTGAGTGTGTCTGCCAATATGTGGCCACACATCTCCATTTTAAACTTAGCCCCAGGCGGGTACCACAAATTAGAGAGAACAAGGCTTTTCATAAGAAAAAAAAAAAAAGCCTGGATTGAGTAAAGGGGGTACTAGGGACCAAGGACTAGGAATGGGAGTTCTCTCGAACAATATATGTAGCTACATGGTTTAGCCTAGGTCTGTGAGAGTGGCCATTTTGCCCAAGGAGATTCAAGTGATTGGCAGTCATTCTAGTCATATACCCTGGCTTTCTGGGGTGGGGTAGGGGCAGGTACTACTTTGACATGAGGAGTCCTGGCTCTAGGTGGGAGCTAGACAGAGACCATCCCCCTCGCCAAGTGCTGGCTGAACCCAGAGCCTCATGCTTACTAAGCAAACGCTCTACGACTCACTTGTGTCTTCACACCCCTTAAACTGCCTAACTAGGCAGAGCTTAGCAGAAGGGGTATTTAAGTGTCTACACACATTGTTGAAAAGTTCTCTGCCCTTAGGCTTTTGCTCTTATTTAGGAAGGCAGATGGGATTGTACAATTATAATAATGCAAACTGTTCAACAAATGGTGGTTGCTATTTGCCAGGGCATTTGTAGCAAGCACTTTCCAGACATTAGTTCACTTTTTCCTTATGGCAATCCTCAGAGAAATTGAAAGATAAAACTGTGGAGGTTAGGAGGGGAAGTAGGGACCTGGTGGGGAGTGCTCAGTGTTAGGGTGCCTGTTTAGCATTCAGGGGGCCCTGAGTTCAATCTCCAGACAAAGAGAATGTTAACGGAAGGTTGCACAGCTGGAATTTGAGAGCTGGAATTTGAATCCAGCCCAGTCTAAGGTGCCCCCACACGGGTCAGCGTCAGCTCCCTCCTTTCACCATGAGGACCCTGGGGTCATCAGATCTGACAGCAGGCACCCTTACCTGCTAAGCCATTTCACTGGACCCCTAGAGATAGTTCTCTTTCTTTCTTTCTTTTTTATTTTTTGGTGTTTGTTGTTGTTGTTTGGATTTTTTTTTTTTTTTTTTTTTTTGAGACAGGGTTTCTCAGTGTAGCCCTGGCTGTTCTGGACTCTCTCTGTAGACCAGGCTGGCCTCGAACTCACAGATCCGCCTGCTCCTACCTCTCAGAGTGCTGGGATTACAGGCATTTGCCACCTTGTGGGGCTCTAAATCTATTTCTTAAAGTAGTGTTCAGACTCTTTTGAATTGTGGTCATCTTTGGTTCTGATTTTTCTTTTCGTCACTTGTATCTGCTTTATCCTTTCCGTTTTTTTTTTTTTTTTTTTTTCCACTTCCTCTTGTAATCTTCGAGTTGTTGTTCACTTGCTTGTTTTTTCGGTCTTAGCCTATCTCTTAACTGCTTTGGCTACACCGATGGAAAGTTTTGCCCTGCTTTCTGTGTGTTGAATGACTGTGGAATGAAAACATTAGGGCCATGCCCTTGCCTGAGAACTGGACAGATCTGATTTTGAAGAATGACACTCTCTGAGCTTATTAGATCCAGCACTAAGTAGGCCCATTTCATCACTGTTTGGGGTGTCTGTGCTAGGCACAGGAGATACAGCAGTGACCTAGTCAGAACTGGCTCCTTGTCTTTGTGAAACTAACAGCCTGTGGTAGAAGTCAGACAATAAACCGGAGACCAGTAACGCAGTTTTATTCTGGAATTAATGGTATGAAGAAAACGAATTGGGAGCCTGGACGCAATGTAGACTGATATATTTTAGATGGGCTGCCATCTCTCTTTTGAGAAAGCAAGTCGGTGCGCTAGCACAGCTAGACAGTTACGTCATGACCCTCCCCAGCTTGATACCTTTGTCTTGCAGTTTCCTCCTCTTTTGCACCCTCCCTCGCTCCAGAGCCGGAGATCCACGCCGGCGCACTGGCTGTTGCCATGGGGACAGCTGCTTCGGCGCGTGCGCAGATGCCTTCAAGATGGCGGCCGCTGCGGCTGCACGAGCGGTTCCTGCGAGCTCTGGATTCCGGGGCCTGCAGCGAACACTGCCCCTGGTAGTGATTCTCGGGGCCACTGGCACTGGCAAGTCCACCCTGGCTCTGCAGCTAGGCCAGCGGCTCGGCGGCGAGATCGTCAGCGCGGACTCCATGCAGGTACTGCAGCGTGCCTGGCGCGGGGCGTGGGAACCCTGGAGGTCAAGTGCGGGCCTGCGGACTCCTCGACACCCTGTCGCGTGGCCGCACTGGGTGAACCCCGAGGCTTCGGGGGTGCAGCCGAAAGGAACCCACACCTCTAAGGGCAGACAGTGCCGACTGTGTCTTGTGACCGCCTTAGTAACTCCTCAGGCTGCTGCTGTTTCGTAGATATCACTGATAGTTTCGTTTATGGATCAAAAATGTTGGGGCTCAGGGAGGTGACGCGGTTTTGTGGCGTGGTACATTGCAAGTAAGTGGAGGAGAACGTGTAAGACGGACACGTGTCCGGTGAATTTCCAAAATTGAAAATCAGTCAGGAACTTTCGCCATAATTTTAATTCCAGCCCAATGGGATGCCACCTGTGAGGGTCTTCCTGGGCACTGGAACAATCAGAAGACCCGATTGCAGTCAGTGGCAGCCATTGGCCGCGTGACTTCAGATCATCAGTGCCCTTTATTTGAACATTTTATTTGTAAGGTAAAGGAAATGCCACTTGCCTCACAATCACAAGGCAGAGGTAATAAGTGAGTCGTTTGAGTGTTACATTGGAAGCAGGGTGGCCTGCTCTAAAGAAGGTCAGACCCTGGGAAATGCAGGCTGAGGCAGAGGGTTGTTTGTTTGTTTGTTTAATCCTTTTGTCCTCTTTGAGATGGGATGTGCAGGAGGGTAGTATTCGTCTTAGTGGGAGCCTTTGTGCGCTCTTAGAGAGCAGGTGACATTTTGGGTGAATGTGAGAAGGATTACAACAGCTGTTAGGCAAGTTCAAAGGTGTCACACAGCCAGTCACTTAACCTAAACCGATGGGCACTAACCAAAAAAGGTAGTTCATTTCCCTACTCTACCTCAGGAGGCTCCTCGCATGGTTTCTACCCCCATTAACTTATTTGTCCGTGGTAAGACCATCAGCATATACTAAAAGATGGGGTAATGCAACACATATCTGTTTGCGGCTTGCTTTGTGCCAGCTTTGGGAGATAGAGTTTGGCTTGAATCTCAGCCTGGTTTTCCCCCAACTTTAAGCTGACTTGAACAAAGATGCCTTTTGTTTCTTTCTTAAAATAGGAAGAATACCAATAACAACATTGTGATCTTGAGATGAAGTACAATATGTGAAGCACTTAGTACAACTTATGGCAAGTAATATGGTAGCAGTGAAAAATATGGCGTCTGGTGTGTGTGTGTGTGCACACGTGCTGCGCGCGTGGGCAGATAAGCCCATACTCTCTGTACTGGGGAATGTTAGTCTGGCTAAACACGATATAAGGCAGAGCTAATGAGTGAACAGAACTATTTATAGAGCATTTGCAGGTGGGTGGGTTCAGAAGAAGAGACCACAATCATGATAAGCTATTAAGTGCTATAGAATTCTTGGGAAGGGAGAAGTCAGTGAAGGTCATGGGAAGTCTCTAAAGAAAGGCCTGGGCTGGGGAGACCTCAGTTAGCAAAGAGTCTGCTGTGTAAGTGTGAGGATGGACCTGAGCTCAGGTCCCATGGACCCATACAGAGAAGCCAGGTGTGGTACCACATCCTAGCACAGGGGAATGTAAGACTGGAGGGTCCCCAGAGCTTGATAGCTAGCTAGTTTAGGCAGCTGGTGAGTTCTGGCTTCAGCAAGAAACCTTGTCTCAAAACATTAGGTAGAGAGCAGTTGAGGAAGACGTCTGGCATTGTTTTTTTCTGGCCTCATACACACACACATGCATTCAAAAAATAAAAAGGAAATGAATAAGTGAATAAAATAGATAAATAAATAAACATGAATTTTAAAAAAGAAGAGCTTGAAGTTGGGCAAGGTGGCATACGCTGTACTCTTTGATCTTGGCAAGCGGAGGCAAGAGAAATGCCATAAACCGGAGGTCAACCTGGTTTACCAAGGAAGTTCCAGGCCAGCCAGGACTACATAGTGAAACCTAGTCTCAAAAACAAAAACAAAATAACATAAATGAAGGTTTGAAAAATAAGAAAACTGGAAAGGAAGGAACACAAAAGAAGTTAGAATGGTGGAAGAGTGTATGTAGGACAGTCAGGAGACCTCAGGAGGGGGTTCCCCACAGAGGCTTTTGGGTTAGGAGATGAATACAGGGTGAGAAGCAGTGTGCGGAATGGTTGGGAGGGGCATGTGATGAAATTAGTGTGGTATAATTATAGCTGTTTGCCCTGAGACCTTGGAGACCGGATTGCCCAGGGCTTCGGTAAGGTGGAGCTGCACCAAAGGTGTCTATGGACCATCCCAGTCCTTGTGTTCTGTAACTCTGGGCTGGTGAAGCATTAGTGGAGAAGGTCTGATTGAGTCAGGAAGAATGATGAGCCCAGTGTGATACAGGAATCAGAGGTGGGGGCTTGGGAGAATGGCCAAGCTCCAAGTCAGGAAGATCTTTCGGGGAATCCAAAGGGAATTCTGTTAGGGGATGGGTATCTGGGGAGTGCTATAGAATGATCATATTTCAGGACTCTTGGGTTGATGCTCCTGCTCTTACGGAAACACGATTTGTTCTGTTTCTTTGCTCAGACCTTTCTCACATGTCATCCCTCATGTAGCAAACCTAGTCCCTTCAAACACGTTTCAAATAATCTTTCCTGTTTGTTTTGTTATTTTTCTTGAGATTGGATCTTACTCTGTAGCCCAGACAGGCTTCAGACTTGGATCAATCTTCCTGCCTCAGCCTCTGGAGGGCTGGAATTACAGGTAGGAGTCACCATGCCTAGCTAGTCATTTTAACTTACATTAATTTTGCAGTAATCGAATGGGTTCTGGTAACGAGGGTTGGGTGTTCTCTGTAGTGGCTACTGTAGTCTCAGGAATGGTTATTTACTCGCTTTGCCTAGAGGGTAAGTTAGAGTTCTTTGTCATTGTAGGGTAAGACATCAGGACACTCTGCCTTGCATAGTGCTGACAATGTGGTAAAGCTTTCATATTTTACAGAGTATTTCATTAAAGTGGTACTTTTTGTTTTTTCCTTGTGGTGCTAAGAATCAAACCTAGGGCACGCTATAGCTACAGTCCTAGTCCCAAAGAGCGTGTCTCTTGTGTGAGCACTTGTGTATGTGCAGATGTCTGTGTACATGTGCATGGGTATGGAGGCCAGAGGACGACCCTGGGTGACATTGTTTAGGTGCTCTTCACCACTTTCTTTGTTTTCGAGACAGAACCTGGTCCTTCCAGCACTGACCTCCCATATTCACATCATCATCTCCTTCTTTTTTTAAACAATCCACTCAGTCCAGTTAGCACAGCCTGCATGAGCATGGGCAACTTACCAGTGACCACAACCCCAAATTACTCCCGTCCCCCAGCAGCCATCAGTTACCAATGTCACCTCAGCTGGGATTGGTGCCCTTTGAGTTTCTCCTCCATCCACACTGGAATTTTGACTACACTGATCTTGTGCAGGTGATCCCAGGTCCTGAGTCCCTGTGTGCAGCAGCCATGTCATGTTCAGAAGACAGCAGCAGAACATTTTTTTCCATCATCCAATTCTTCTCTCTCTTTCTCTTTTCTTCCTTCCTCCCCCCTTTCCTTCTCTTATATGTGTATGAGTGTTTTCCTCATATATATCTGCACATAGAAGCAGTGTCTGTGGAAGCCAGAAGAGGGAAGCAGACCCCTTTGGACTTGAGTTAGTTGTGAAGCCATCACATGGGTGCTGGAAATTGAACCTGGAACCTCTGAAAGAGCAGCTCTTAAGCACTGAACTCGGTCTCCCCAGGCCCATCCTTCAGCTCTTCTTAATTGTCTTTCTGTATTCCCTGAGCCTTGTGGGGGTTGATACAGATGTCTTGTTCAGAGCTGCACAGTTAGCAGTCAGTTATTCTCAGCTCTTTGACCAGTTACTCATGAGTCCATGCATTGACCGCTGCCCACTGGAAAAAGAAGCATCTCTGACCAAGCTTGAGAGCAGCATTAATTTATGGAGTAAATTGGCTGGCACAGCTGCCGGCTAAAAGAGAAAGTTCTCCGAACCCTTTGGCTCCAGCAGGCTCCATTTGGAACTGTGTAGAGAGGGGCAAATGGGCGCTGTTGGTTTTTGCAGTTTTTCCGGTGTGTGGGGAAGAGGAAGCTGGCAGTCCTGTTGTGGTAGTTTTCTGGTAGTTTCTGGTAGACCTCTGCACTCCACTTGGCCTTTTCTGGTTCTCAGGTGCTCGCAGGCACATTCAGAATTGTACATTTGTGACTAGAATGTGAAGATTAAATTTCCTTTATTCTTGAGGAGTATTAATATATGAAAAACATAGATGATTTTTGAGCTTGTGAACTGTGTTTAGCTTTAGAGTGTGTTTAATTTTGGGTGTTCATAACATTTTCTCTCACTCCCAGTTGGAGAACTTTGATCTGTGTTTGACTGAGTGATTGAATGACTGACAGATTTTTATGTCTAAGCGCATATATACAGTAAGATATCCATGTCCTGTCGACTGAGGACGCAGGTCCAGCAGTTCTTCATTTCTGCCTTTTTTCACCATTGTGCGCTGTTACAACTAGAGCTCACGTTCTAGCCAATGGAAGGAAGAGGAGCTTTTTGTTATTTTGTTTTTTAAAACAGGGCCTTCTCCCTGTGTAGCCCTGAACTCAACAATCGTGCCTACCTCAGCTTCTCAAATGGAGATCCTACTTAAAAATAAGATTTATTTTATGTATGTCATTTTTAAAATTTTATGTATGTATGCTTATTTTATGATGTTTGCTTACATGTATGTATATACACCATGAGCATGCATTGCCCTGCAGAGGCCAGAAGAGGGCAGTGAATCCCCTGGAGCTGGAATAATTAATGATTATGAGCCACTCTGTGGGTGTTGGGAACTGAACCTGGGTCCTCTGCTAGAACAAGTGCTCTTAACCTCTGAGCCATCCCTCTGACCCCTGGAGGAACTACTTTTAGTGATTTAATGGGATTTTATAAATACTTAAACAAAATGTCTTTTTGAAGACAAGGAAGGTCTGAAGTGGCCCGGGCTG